GCTGCTGCTGCTGGTCGCCCACCATGTTCTGCACCACCCCTGGTGGTCAGCGCATGTTATAGCGAGCAATCAAACTCCTGTTCTCCCTGTTGAACTCCTGAAGGGACACTTTACATAGTAGCCTTTTATATATATAGATAGTAACAGTGGCTATTTTTGGAGGTAGGATTATGGGTGGTTTTCATTTCCTTATTCATATATTTCTGTAATTCTAATTTTCTAATGCAAGCAAATTTTGTGTATAATTAGAAAGTAATGAAATGTATTTAAAAAGGAGCACTGGAATAAATTTTCTGGATGTGAATATATCCTACATTAGTTTGAGTATTTCCTATTTTCCTCAATATTAGGTAATATTTAAGGAGTTTCAATTTAAAAGTTTCTGTATACTGCTTGCAAATATTTTTCAATGTAAGATGATAAATGCTTAGAAATTAGGGATGATGAACTCACTCAGAGGTAGATAACCAATATGGTGTTTCAGGGCTGATGTTGCATTAAACATCCTGTAGAGTATACATGATTGTTTATTGTCCAACTGTCTTCTTATCCCATCACATAACCATGATAAATATCAAGACTGTTTTCAGCAATGGGCACTCCTGACCACTTACTTCTCTTTCTAACTGGGAAATGCATTCCTGCAATGTTGTGACCATCTATCACTTTGTAGTCAATGAAGGAGACTCAAATATCATTGGGCCAAGAGCATATCATTGTTTACACATCATTGTTTGTTTTTTTTTGGTTGTTTGCATTTATAAATTTTATATATTTGTAGAGGCCAGTTAAAGTTTTGGACTATATATTTCACTTGGCTTTAGTCTAACATTAAATTACATTAATTGAAGATGGACTTTTTCTAAATTTAGAGAAAAATATGGTAAAGCAAAATGGTAAATTTTAGTATTATTTGTTTTTGCTTTAAGATTATAAACAAATTCATTTTTATTTAACAACTAGGGGCCCAGGGCACAAATTCGTGCACCTTGAAAGGAACTGTGGGCCGCGAAGCTGCGGTGGGCACAGGGGTGGGTCTCGGCCCATTCTCCACGCCCCCACCAGGCCCTCCTCCTGCTGCGCCCCCTAGTCCCCTCTCTGCCGGCAGCACCGCTCCCGCCACCGCTCCCACGCGCTGACAGTGCTGAGCGATTGAAACCGGTACCAGGAACTGGCAGCGGGTGCAAGCGGTGGTTTCGGCACCGGCTGTGGGTGCGAGCGGGGCCAGTGCTGGCAGTGGGTGCGAGCATGGCCGTTACTGGCAGCGGGTGCGAGAGGCAGCTGCCGGCCCCAATCACCCCTCAGGAGCAGGGGGAGGTAGAGAAGCTCTGAGGGGAGATAGGGGCCAGCAGCTGCCTCTTGCACCCGCTGATGGCGCCAAGCAATCATGGCCAGCGCCGGGCACCAGCAGTGGGTGTGAGCGGTGGCTTCAGTGCTGGCAGCAGGTATGAGCCCCCGGTGGGACTGCGGCGCATGGGAGCAAACAATTTTCAGTAACCACCAGAGACTCGCCCCTTGGTCTGGCACCCCCGCTCACCTGCTCCACCATCCCGCCACAGCCAACGCCTGCCATGTTCTGTGCTCTGCTGCCTGCTGCCAACTCCTGCCAAGTTCTGCGCACGCCCCCCTGGTGGTCAGCGCACGTCACAGCAACTGGTTGTTTGGTTGTTCTGCCGTTTGGTCTATTTGCATATTAGGATTTTATATAGAGAGAAGATTTGGTGTATGTGGGAATAGGTTGCTTGTTTAGGTTATTTGATAAATTTCCCAAAAGTATCAAAATTGTTGCTTTTACCTTTTACAGTTTAGAATAGTGTTACTTTTGCTAAAAGTTACCGGGTAAAGCTGATGAATTTTACAAAGGCTTTGAATTAATATATTATCATGACCATATATAGTTATTAAGCATTTTATGGTGGTTAATACATACACACATAGACATATGAGGATAGATCAATAGATGAGAATATAAGGAATCTTCCTGAAAAGTAATGTTAATGTAAACTCATACAATGATTTAAAAATTGAAAGTATTCCTGTGTGCTATCCCAGAATTTCTACAGAATGGAGATGATTTAAATAAAGAAAACAATGTTTTCTAGGTAAAGTCTAGTTGATTACTTCTAATGCGATTTTCCTACAGTCTTGACACTTTAGCACTGTCTTTAAAAAGTACCTCACACAGAGGTCTCACCATAACTAAACATTGTAACTAAAATAACATAACTGTGTTACTTTAGTTACAATGTCTCCTGAGGTATATTGCTATGACATCTATGTAGCCTTTTTCTGTTGCCTTATTGGGTAGACAATAAACAGTGAAGGCCAAATATGTTAGAGGGATGTTATAACTCTGAATGACTTGAGATGACCATTCTATGATCATTATAATCTGACTAGAGGCCTGGTGCACGAAATTCATGCATGGGTAGGGGCCCTAGTCCTGGCCAGTGATCAGGGCCAATCTGTGGGATGATCAGCAGGGTGATCAGGGGATCCCGGCTGGCACCCGCCTTGGCTGGCCTGGGATCTGTGGGCTGGGGGCAACTCCTGTGTTGAGCGTCTGCCCCCTGGTGGTCAGTGCACATCATAGTGACTGGTCATTCTGCCATTTGGTCTATTTGCATATTAGGCTTTTATTATATAGGATATCATAGAATATTATTTAACTTGGCTAGGATGTCCATATTAAATGTAAAAGGTTTTGACAATTTCTGCTTGGGTTATGTGAAATTATATATTGAGATTTCACCCATTTTTTTCAGATATGGTTTTGATAGCAGGTTCTGAGTTATTGGCCCTATATCCTTTATCTATAAAACCAGCAACAGTCAATTCATTGATTTTCACTAGAGTAAAATTCCTCTAGCTAGAATTTAGGGCTACTTGTTGCTTCATACCTAATGTAGAAGTCAGGGTTATAGGAAACAAAACTGCAGAATTCTATTTTGGTATTAAAAATAAATGATGGGAAATAACTGTTCAGATTGAATGGAGTACAGATAAACTTCTAACTTATAGAAATTCAAGAAATATAAAGAGTCATAGTTTATACAAACTCCCAATGACATCTTTCAACTGAATACATCAATGCCAAGTTCATCATCTACTACCTCACAATATCTCCTTGTAGTTCCTCCTCTCTCAGAGAATGGCTACACCATTTATCAGCTCACAAAGTAGCCATTTCAACATGAAGTCCTTTCAATTTTAGTTTTTTATATTTCTTGGATCTGTATTTTCTTTCCCACCAGCCACCAGCACTACCTGAATCAAAACTTTCATATTTTCTCCTGAGGGATACTGCTATGGCATCTACATTGACTTTTTCTGAACTCCTTGTTTGAATGTCCTCTGCAGATTAGTCACAATCATCTCTACTAACCACAAATCTGATGATTACTCTCCTATGAACACACTCACAAACACACTCATACACCCACATTATTCAATGATTTTATTTTGCTCAGCATAAAGTCATAACCCTCCAACCCTCACATATTCTAGCCCATGCAGATCTCAATAACTGTTCTTATATCTTGCTACCCCCAGCTCCTGTGTTTCAGCTACACAGACTTCTTTCCGTCCCTCCTCTACATCATCTTCCCTCTTGTCACATGGTCTTTCTACAGAGCTGTTCTCTCAGCTTAGACTCTTCCCTTAGTATCTACTCTAGTTTTAAATCTTAGCTCAAGTCTCTTCCTCAGAGGTTTCAATCTGTTTAACTAAATTAGATTTTTCATTACAAGCTCTCATCGCCTAGGTTTCTCTCCTTTCTAGCACTTATCAGTTATAATTTTACATCTCTTTGCCTAACTAGTTGTTTTCCCCACTGCACCATAAAATACCCGAGGGCAAGGGTCTTATCTGTTCTACCCAACAGTTAATACCCAGATTCAGACACATCAGCAGGTATTTGTCACATGAAGGACAATGGTTCTTTAGAGAGAGCTGGCTCCTCTCTTAAGAAGTAAAAAGAGCCCTAGCCGGTTTGGCTCAGTGAATAGAATGTCGGCCTGCAGACTGAAGGGTCCTGGGTTCGATTCCCGTCAGGGGCATGTACCTTGGTTGCGGGCACATCCCCAGTGGGGGGTGTGCGGGAGGCAGCTGATCGATGTTACTCTCTCATCGATGTTTCTCTCTATCCCTCTCCCTTCCTCTCTGCAAAAAATCAATAAAATATATTTAAAAAAAGAAGTAAAAAAGAGTAAATACTAAATTAATAAAGAAAATATTTTTCAAGTAGTGATAATGCTGTAAAGCAAACAAAAGGTATTCTGTTGAAGAGTGATTGCGATAGGACAGAGCTTGAGGGAAGGCTGCTTTACTTGGTGTAGTTAGGACAGAAATCATTGAGAAGATGACAGGGGGACTGAGTCCTAAAGAAGGGGAAACAGCCAATTTTGTGAAAAGTACTCTAGGCAGATAAAATAGCCAGTGCAATTTACCATCACTGTTGTCAAGTGACAGCTGCTTTGAAAGAATCTGGCAGTCTGATCCGACTGAAAGGCATTTTAGAGACAAAACAGGCAGGTTTTAGGGAATAAAGAGGGTCCAAGCTGCCAAAATGCTTAACATATTTTCACAGAGGATAGAGAAATGTCAACAGATACCTGGAGGAGGGAGACGTATTTTCACAGGAGATAGAGGAATGTTGCAAGATAAGGGGGAGATAAAGAAAGGAGCACCATGTGGGTTTTGGACTTTGAAACTGGTATCCTGCAAAAGAGTGACCAATTAGGAAAGCACAGGGTCATAAAATGGGGAAGGGGTCCAATTAGAAGGAAGCATAGATAAAGAACTTCCAGCCTTTAAGACCTTAGAAAAAGGGGCTTAGTCGGTTACCCCCTTGGGAACCCCTCCCTATGCGGGAGTTTGTATTTGCTTCCAATAAATGTCCACCCTTTTAGTCTGACAATTTTATTCTTCAAACTCTGTGAGGCAAGAACCTGCAAGGGGGGAGATCCGCTCCCCAAACCCCATGTTTCACAACTACTTACGCTTTTTGGACTGCCTCTATCATTTAGCCATGACCTTCAAATTAGGCAACAGGGAACACTTTTCCAGAGTGTTTGGCGTGAATCAGGCTCTGTAAATATCTCTTTGAAAAGACAGAGAATTTAAATCACACTTATCCAGCATTTCTGCTAAAAGGAATTGTGTTGATTATTTAGGCCGATGTTTTGTTTTAGGATTTTTCATTTAAAAGTCTCTGCCCTAATAATGGATTTGTTGTCACAGTTTTTAATATTTTAATATTTTCAGCAAACTGTTCATGTTAGTGGGATTTTTAAAAACACTCTCTTTGAAAACCAGTTGATTCTAGCCAATTTCTCATAATTACTGTGTTCAAGATTATCAACCTATTTAGAGCATGAAGAATCTATAAATACTATAGTTGTTACTTCAATGCCTGGTTACATCCACAATCGTGACTAGCATCTTTGAACGAGAACAATGACAGCAAGAAAACATCACTTTATAGATAAAGGACTGAGAAAGGTTCACAGAGGAATAAATATTAAGGTAGGTTCATGAACAATGAGTATAATTTTCTTAGATAGGACATAATATTATAGAAATTGGAAATACCAGGAATGGAGTATTTTCTCCAAAAGAAGCCTATTTTCTACCCAATGTTATATCTACAAATTACATGTATTTTGGAAAAGAAATTATTTCGTGATTTAAACCAAACCTTAGCATTCATCAGAATTGCCCAGAGGACTTGTTAATTTGGGGTGAGGCCTCACGAGTTTGCACTCCCAGAAAAATTTTTTTAGAACAATTGGTTTAAACAGAGTCTTTTTCACTTTTCTCTAGAGCCGTGGTCGGCAAACTGCGGCTCTCGAGTCACATGCGGCTCTTTGGCCTCTTGAGTGTGGCTCTTCCTAAGCCTTAGGAGTACCCTAATTAAGTTAATAACAATGTACCTACCTATATAGTTTAAGTTACCTATATAGTTTAAGTTTAAAAAATTTGGCTTTCAAAAGAAATTTCAATCGTTGTACTGTTTATATTTGGCTCTGTTGACTAATGAGTTTGCCGACCACTGCTCTAGAGGATACTTTAATGTTATCATAGAGCTCTTGATCCTTAATTTTGACAATACTGTTTAATATGTAAAGTAATCATAAGTGGCAACAGAGGAACACAATACAAGGAGATATCTTGTAAAAAAAAACAACTGCTAATGGCTTTGGATAAAGGTTGTAAGTTAGAACACCTCTGTCATCTCTAAGACTGCTCTATATTTTCTCAATTTGTAAATTATATAGATATCACTTCTCTGGAATCTAGGGTCTTAAGCTTTCTCCTTCATTTTCAAATTCCAGTCCTATTCCAGAAAACATTTCCATATTCCTAACAAACTAAGTTTGTTTTTTAAAGTCAATAAGGAAATGCTGATGTGTTGTTTCTGTTTTTCAAACAGAGAAAAATAAGTACAGTGAAACGAATTCACTTTGAGAAAGGAAGTATTTGTTTTTTTCATGGGGGAGGGCAGGAGATGATGGTCTTATAGCTGTACTGACAATAGCATAAGGAAATAAAATTGCAGAACAAAACAGTTCCATATTGACTAGAATTTAGTTCTGAGTTTCCCCTAGACATTGCAGGTCAAATAAAAGATATAAAGAAATTCTTTCAGGCCTCACAGGCCAGACCTGGCACCATAAACCATAATCAAGGCTTACTATGCAACACACTTGTTTTCAGGTAACTAGATAATTTAAGATTAATCTGGGCAATACATGCAGACTTCCAATTCTGAGGCTGAAGAAAACATGCAACAACTCTAGCATGCTTCTGGGAAATGTGAACTCCAAGGATGGTGAGAGTAGTTTGTATGCTGAATTTGATTTACTTTAATCAGCATGTGTTGAATGTGTTATGTATTAAAATAATAGAACATTTCCACTTTACAAGGCTCCTGCCTACACAGTTTTCTATATGCATGAAGTATTCACTTTGGGTATTTTCTGATTAATAATAAATTAATGAAATTTGGTAGTGAAGAAGTTATTATAGCAAGTTGTATTATTGCTGTTGCAAGGACCAGACTTGCTGCAACAATGGACCAATAATTACAGGAATAAATGGTCTGTGGGCTATCTAAATTAATCAAAGTCTAAATAAATCTCTAAGTAATTCTAGGTTATGGAATAATTCCCATTCAACAAATGCAAAGTAACAACATGTGGCAGACACTGTACTACGCACTGGAGAGCATCAGTGAACACAATGGGCATGGCCAGACTTTGTGGGTTACAAATTAGTAGGAGACACGCAATCACCAGAAGTAAATTATACATGAAAGATGCTAACTGGAGGCATAATCATAACTGGTCAGAAGGTGGAGATGGGATGGCACCATGGGGTGTATGGTCACTGGAAGATACATGGACTTTTTTGCTATTCAACTACTTCCACACAAGAACAGTACTTGGTCCTGTTTATTAACAAAGTACTTATTAAAAGTCTTATTAAAAATGATCTGTGGTCAACTTTAATGCTATAGAGGAAGAAGAGGGGGGAAAAAAGCCTTAGAACTCTGGAAAATTCCTATAGCAGAATGGGGAAATTAAATACATTAAGAAATGAAGAAAACTGGGAAAAGGCTGTAGCAGTTCAGTTTAGCTATTTTCCTCATTCAACCATTTCTACTCATTGTGCTTATGGCAAGATATTTTCATGTGTTAAAATTTCTGCTTGGAATAGCAGAAAGCTAATCCTATAAAATTGTTATATGAGCACATCACAGTTAGGAGTGCCCTGGACCAGGCCAAGGGATAAAGAATCCATGACCACCCGCTCTAATCCACAAGATTTTGCAGTTAGCAGCAACTCTGTCTTGTTTGCAAGTTATTCTGTGATTTCAGCTTTGATGTAGCTTGCATGTGCTTTTATGAATATATTAATTAAACGCTTGCAAATAACCAACTATGGTGGGAAACAGTAACTGGGTATCAAGGATGTGGTTACCAATTCTAATTTACCTTACATAACCTATTAAGTGCAGCTAGCCTACAATCACTGCTAACACATCTGAAAACCAAAACCAAATACTATTCAAGTAATGCAACCCTACTAGTGGGCTGGAGAGGCGCACACACAGGAAGACTAGTGAATAGGAGAGCCAGCATACTGGCCCCAAGTCACAGTACTTACGGGAAGACACGCTGCTTTTTATGCATACTACCACCCACTCTTAAAAGGATGAACAGCCTGTTTACCGACTAGGTCAGGGGTGGGCAACCTTTTTGTGAGTGCGTGCCAAAACCAGCAAAATCTCTGACTCAAAATTCTTCTGCGTGCCAACCCTAATTTTTTGAGTACATGTTACGCCTACTTGATATTTCTTAAGGTGTACGTATGTGAAGAACCTTGAAGAAATAATAAAATTCATTCGAGCGACAAAAACACAGTATATGATGATGAAAAATACATTTATTTTTAATGTATACATGTACACTGATAGTCTGACAGAAAACTTTATGACTCCGTTTGATATTAACAGTGGGACTTTTGATGCTGCATCACTGATGACAGAGATTTTACATCAGGTTTATATTTCGTGACCTTCAGAGATATGCACGAGCTACTACTTTCATCCGTCAGGCTACTCCTATTATGAGACTTAACAAAATTCATCCCTGAGAACAAAGATTCACAAGCGTATGTGGATGAAACCAAAACACTGGTCGGATCTAGGAAGGCAGGGAGAGTTAAGGCAGAGGCATAGAAATTGCTCTTCCCCTCTCTCGTCAATCCATGTCTATGGTCTTTAAGATAACTTGCTATGTAAAATTATTTATTTATCTAAGATGCACCTACACTGAATTTATCTGAAAAATAAAAAAGTCGATATTAAGAAAAAAATTGTAAATGGAAGACTATAAGAGGGTTTTGCGTGTCAGCAAAAGTTACTGGTGTGCCATGTTTGGCACGCGTGCCAGGGGTTGCCCACCCCTGGACTAGGTTCATTGGCGCAGCATTTTCCCAGCTCTCCTAACCCCATGTCTCCATTCCTCTTCTCATCTTTCTATCCCTCTTCCTCAAAAATCTTTCCTTCTGGTCACGGTCAATGGGATGTTTAAGCAAGCCAAGAGAAACTCACTCAGTACACACCACCTTCGTGGATCATAAGTACTCAATTTATTGAATCAAGAACACACATTAGCCGGGAGACCAAAAGGGCCAAGTCCCAAGCCAGAACCTGGGCTTGGTGGCTACTCAGAACGGCTGTGAAGAAGCTGAGCCACGCAGGAAGA